ATACAACTAAGATACACTGTTCTAAATACATATTCTATAATCTTGAGAAAAGGAAGGAACTGCATCAAATTAAAGGAGACTCAACAGACATCACAAATGCAATGGATGACAATTGAGTTAAATCCTGGACCAGGAAAAAAAATCTTTTATTTTAAACAAAGAATATCAGTGAGACAGAGGCCTTTCTAGTGGCCTACAGTTTAAGTCTCAGCACTCTAACCTCAATGGCCTGAGTTGGATCCCCCACCAGGGAACTAACTCACATATGATTCAGTAGACCTCATCTGTCTTGACTATTCCCTTTAACAGTTTATTTTGGTAGATCTGCCTGCTCTGCTCCCCACTCTGTCTCTGGTGAATCCTCTTATCACCCCCACACCTCTGGTCTGTACACCAGTTCTTCTATGCATAAACAATCTTTAAAAAAAAAAGAAAATATTAGTGAGGCAATGGCAAAATTTGAGTTAGGTCTGTATATTAGTTATCAATTTTAATTTTTTGATTTGACATAACTGTATGAAGGTTACATAAGAGAGCATCTTTAATTTTAGGAAATATAAACTGAAATATTTAGAGCAAAGTGGGCATTATGACTAAGTTACAATTAACTCACAAAATAAAATTATGAAAATATTATAGAAAGGGAAAGGAAGTAAGAAAGATAAAGCAAACATAAAATGTTAACTAAGAAATTAGATTAATATAAGAAACTATGTACTTCTTGAAACTTTTTATTCTGAAATAGTTTCAGACAGAGAAAAGTTAAAAGAGAATTTAAAAACAGCTCACAATTCTGTATTTTCTTGGGTAGTAAGAAGTGGTTTCTGGATATTTTCACACTTTTCTTCCAAAGCACAGAATCTCTCTGACCAAAGATTGATTAACTGGCCAAGTTCCTGTAAGGAAAGCATGGTACAAGAGATTGAAATTATGATATTTGAACTTTTTCTGTATTGACATTTTCCCAAGTGAGGATTTATTTTATTCCAATTGTAGTCCTAAAGGTATAGTTACCCAACTTCATCTTCCATGTCAGTGCGAGGAAAGAATTGTATTGTCTTACTGTGTGGTAGCATAAGGATCCACATGTATTAATTTTTCAAATGTTAACTAATTGAGAAAAGCATTCTCAATTATTTTACATACTGAACGCTATAACCAATAGTGGTTATGGTACTTTGAGGTTTCTAAGTTATATAGCATTGAGACTGTGTAATATTACAAAAGTTTCTTTTTATAATCCCCAAATCA